TCTTGTCCGCGAATTTATGGGTTTATTTCAACCATTTTTGAGCGATTTTGGAGCTTTTGAAGAGGATTGAAGAGGGATTTAAGGGGAAACACTTGGAGGTAAGATTCATGGACTTAATACTCGATTCTAATGTGAATTCTACCTAATTAATCATGGAAATTAAGCCTAAAATTGAAGAACTAGGGTTTGCAATTGGAGACCTAGAATTTGGGATTTGAGGGGTCATTTGTGGTTGGATTTTGATGCTTTTGGTATGAATAAACTCAGGGAGTGATAAGGAGTCCATTGATGTGATTTTTATCGGAATTCGAGACGTGGGCCCGGGGTCGGGTTTGGCCAATTCGGGATTTGTATTGTAATTTGATTTCTTTCGAGTGGGCTTTATTTCCTTAGCATATTTTGATGGTTTTGCACTGATTTTGGTTAGATTTGAAGCATCCGGAGGCGGATTCAAGGGGCAAAGGCATTGCAAACAAGAGATTTGGACCGGGTAGAGGTGAGTAATGATTGTAAATATTGTCCTGAGGGTATGAAACCCCGGATTTGCACATCGTTATGCTATATTGAGGTGACGCACACACTAGATGATGAGCGTGGGGTCGTGCACTGTTGGGGATTGTGACTTAGTCCATCCCGAATGACTATTTTATCGCGTATTTGACTGAAAACTGTTAGTTATCATCATGTTTTGGGTTGAATGCCATATTTGGGTTGAATGCCAACTATTTGAACCCTTAGGGGATTTTTATTGATATTTTCTCATTGTTTTGACTTTATACTTGAATTCAGTCATGACTGTTTTCATAACTTAGCCATGTTTACTCTGTTTTAAATATTAAATGATATTTTGGGCTAAGCATCATGTTATACTGTTGTCCGAGTGGCTTGTGAGATTCTGACTGAGTAAGGCCGAGGGCCTATGTTGTGAGGAAACACCTTATTATGATTATGAGGCCGAGGCCTGAGATTTGTACGCCACAAGGTGGCTTGTTGATACGAGGGCGAGAGCCTATTGATGATGCCACGAGATGGCTTGATATTACGCTTGGGTCGTAAGGAGCCCCTCCAGGAGTCTGCACACCTCCAGTGAGTGCGGGTACCCATTGTGATATGATATATAGCCCCAGGGGCTGGTATTATTCCATGTGTTGCCCGAGGGGTTGATTATGTTGGTATTGTGCCCGAGGGATGTTTCTTTATGTGTTTACCTTTCATAGTTGTCTGTCTTTACTTGCTTAACTGTTTAAAAAGGGATTTTAAGAAGTTTAAACTGAACTAAAGTGGCTTTTGCATAATTTCACTATTTTATGACTTTTTACTGGCTTTTACTGCTTCCTTATAGCCTATAATGTGTGTTACGTGATTTCTTGCTCTCAGTCTTTACTTATGATTATTACTCACTGAGTTGAAATACTCACTTTACTCCCTGCACCCCGTGTACAGATTCATGCGCATCAGGTCCCACTAGCGAGTGTTGATCTTTCCAGCTGAGGTGGATTCGAAGATTCTCTAGGCAGCTGCCGGCGTTCGCAACCCAGAGCTTCTTCTGTTATCTTATCTTTCTCTATTTTAGATCTGTATTAGACTATGTAGACTTTTTCTTGCCTTTATCCGGATTGTAGATGCTCATGACTGGTGACACCCCAATATGGCTGTGTTGGTTGTGTTTTTTGCAAATTGTATTGTTCACTGCTTAGGTTGGGATTTTATCATGTTTAAGACTTAATATTTATTATCCTAATTACTTAAAAACGAAACGGGAATGTGTCGGCTGACCTTGTCTTCATGAGAGCAGTCATCATGACCGGGTCCGGATTTAGGGTCGTGATATGTTAGTTCGAACTATTCCTTGTCTAGAATGTTAGATAAACACACTTGTCCTTTATAATTGTGTAAGGGATTCTAAAGAAGTTTATAATGTGTTCAGTCAATCCATTCGTTCCAGTTAAAGTTTTGAGTTGGATGATTAGTCTCTTGAAAAATATAAGAAATAAAAAGTAGTAGTAACAATTTTCTCAATGCATTAAGAGAAACAACTAAGAATCCTAAATTTGATTCGAGTTAATACTTCGTATAAATAACCATTTATGCATAAAAGAGACTGGTGGTGGAATGAAGCGGTCCAAGGTAAAGTGGAAGCGAAGAAGGCGGCATAGCTGAAGTTAGTGGGGAGCATAGGTGAGGAGGAGAGGCGAGCGTGCATGGAGAGATATAAGGTAGCTAGGAAGGAAGCCAAACTGTCGGTCACGGAGGCTAAGACTGCGGCTTATAGTCGTATGTACGAGGAACTGGGGAAAAGGGCGGGGAGAATAAGTTATTCCGGCTGGCCAAGTTGAGAGAGAAGAAGGCTCGGGATTTGGACCAAGTGAGATACATCAAGGACGAAGATGGTAGGATACTAATGGAAGATGCCCAGATTAAGAGGAGATGACAGACTTACTTCCATAAAATTCTGAATGAAAAAGCGGATCGGGATATTGTGCTAGGCGAATTGGAGCATTCCGATAGTCACTGTGACTTCAGGCGTTGCAGGAGTATCAAGGTTGAGGAGGTCGTAGGGGCTATGCGTAAGATGATTAGAGGCAGAGCAACCGAACCAGAAGAGATTCCGGTGGAATTTTCGAAGTGTATAGGGAGAGCAGGTTTGGAGTGGTTGACTGGGCTATTTAATGTTATTTTTAAGTCAAAGAGGATGTCGGGTGAGTGGAGGTGGAGTACGGTGGTTCCATTGTATAAGAATAAAGGTGATATCCAGAGTTGTAACAATTATAAGGGTATGAAATTACTGAGTCATACCATGAAAGTATGGGAGAGGGTCATTGAAGCGAGGGTGAGGATGACAGTGTCTATATTAGACAACCAATTGGGGTTCATGCCGGGTCGTTCAACCACAGAAGCTATACACCTTGTTAGGAGGTTGGTGGAACTGTAAAAAGAGAGAGAAAGAAGGATCTGAACATGGTGTTTATTAACCTAGAGAAAGCGTATGACAAGGTTCTTAGAGAAGTTCTCTAGAGGTGCTTGGAGGCAAAAGGTGTGTCGGTTCCCTAAATTATGGCGATTAGGGACATGTATGATGGGGCTAAGACTCGGGTTAGGATGGTAGGAGGCGAATCTAAACATTTTTCGGTTGAAATAGGGTTACACCAAGGCTTTATGCTCAGTCCGTTCTTATTCGCCCTAGTGATGGATGCATTAACAAACCATATCCAAGGGGAGGTGTCATGGTGCATGCTATTTGTCGATGACATAGTTCTGATCGATGGGTCACGAACCGGTGTTAACGAAAGACTGGAAGTTTGGAGACAAACTCTTGAGTCTAAAGGTTTCAAGCTGAGCAGAATGAAGACGGAATACTTGGAGTGTATTTTCAGCACTGAGCCGGGGGAAGTGGGCATGGATGTGAGGCTTGAATCACAGGTTATCCCAAGTAGAGGCAGCTTCAAGTACCTTGGGTCGGTTATCCATGGGGGAGGGAAGATCAATGAAGATGTCGCACACCGTATTGGGGTAGGATGGATGGAGTAGAGGTTAGTATCCAGAGTTTTGTGTGACAAGAGAGTGCCACGATACTCAAAGGTAAGTTCTATAAAGTGGTGGTTAGACCGTCCATGATGTATGGGGCTGAGTATTGGCCTGTTAAGAACTCACATATCCAAAAGATGAAAGTAGCAAAAATGAGGATGTTGAGGTGGATGTAAGGGCACACTAGGATGGACAAGATTAGAAATGATGATATTCGGGAGAAGGTGCACGTGGCTCCTATTGATGACAAGATGCGGGAAGCGAGGCTCAGATGGTTTGGGCATGTACAGAGGAGAAGCCCAGATGCTCCAGTAAGGAGGTGTGAGCGGCTGGTTGTGGAAGGCACGAGAAGAGATAGATGGCGGCCTAAGAAGTATTGGGGAGAAGTGATCAGGCAGGATATGGCGAGGCTTCAGATTTTCGAGGACATGACACTTGATAGGAAGTTGTGGAGGTCGAGTATTACGGTTGTAGGCTAGGAGGTAGTTAAGTCTTGCGTTACTTTGTACCGTTGTGAGCCTAGTCTGGTAAGGTTTTTGTCTAAAATAGCTAGGGGCATTGTCGTGTCTTAATATTTTCTCTTTTCGGTGCATGATCTATTTACTAGCCATCATTTCTGCCTTGTATTCTTTTTCTGCATTTTATGTTCCTATTTTCCTATGATCTCTATGGTGAAACTAATATTCTCTCCTTTTGTTTTTCTTATTATCTTGAGCCGAGAGTCTTTCGGAAACAACCTCTATTCCTTCGGGGTAGGGATAAGGTCTGCGTACATACTACCCTCCCCAGACCCCATTTGTGGAATTTTACTTGGTTGTTATTGTTGTTGTTGTAACCATTTATGCGAAATATTAAAATTTTCAACTAGTAGGAAATCTCCAAGCATTACTAAATAATTTCTCTCGAACAACTAGGTGGAAACTACTTTGACAGATAACGAAGATTAAAATCTCTGGTCAAAAAATTACTAGTTGAAGTTACCTAACAAACCTGTACTAAAATCAACAGATATTTTAATTAGCCGAAAAAGAAAAAAAAAGTTACTGCCCCTTATTGGAAGGAAGCTATGCCACCTTAAATCACCAAACGACGAGACGCAACGGATGATGTTGTTTTTTCCTTAATCAGAAGTTTCGGGTTCGAGTCCCGATATGAAAAAATACTTAGTAGGGAACGCTTCTCCTGAATGGGACCCTACACAGTACAAATTTGGATATAGTTTGGATATAGTTGGGATCCAATACGAATACTGAACACTCGGTGAAAAAAAACAAAAACAAAAAAAAAACTATGCCACCTTTACCATGAAAAGGACACACTTCCAATTCAACCCCAAAAAAGAAGTTCCAATAATTGAAAAAGATTTGCACAAAAGTGAGCAAAATACATACTGTAATTTTGTGGGTGGGACCAACGAGAGTTTGATCAGTACTTTTGTTGTTATAAATAGAAGGATATTATGGAGGTTCATAGGACATGGTCATCAACAGCCATTTTCAATAACTGTCACATGAATTTCCAGCTCAATCATCAAAGAACAATTTCTCCCCTAAAATCTTGTAGTATCTGCCAATTACAATCTCAAAGTTCTTGCTAAAAGAAACTTACAAGTAAGTACCCTTGATTTTCTAATTCTTGAGCAAAACATAAAAAAAGAGTACCTACCCTTTATTTCTTTTTTCTTTCTGCTTTCCAGCTGTGCTTTTGCTTTTTCTCTTTTTGGTCCCCTAGTTACTCTTTTTTCTTGTTGTAGAAAACAAAAGCCTCCTATTTTGGTTGTTCTTTTGATGGGGTTTAGATAAAAAGCGACTCTGATTTGTACTTAGATCTCAATTTTCAAGAAATATAGAGCAATATATCTATATTTTTTTGCTTCTGCTTCTTTACTCAGAGTATGCTTTTGATTCATTTTGATTTCTCCTTATTATTTTTTGGTAGTTGAAGATTTTATCTTGAATCTCCACATTTCAATCACTAATCTAAAGGTTCTGTTTTTAAATGCTTTACTGCATATGTGTAGTTGGTGATCTAAAAATTTAATCTTGGATTAAGGGGCTAGGTTATATTACTTTACATTACAAAATTTAGAATTTTGGGTTTACAGTTATATATAGCCTTGCATTGGAATTTAGGTTTCAGGATAGAAAAGTTCCCTTTTACTGCAAATTTGTAGTTGGTGATACGGGAATTTATTTTTGCATGCTCTTTCTTGAACTGAAAAGTGGAGAAGAAGGTAAGTCGAATATTTTAGGAAATAGAAATTTTGCTTTTCATGCATTTTCTCTTATTTGGTTGCCAGAAAGCAAATTTGTCAGCTTTCTCAACAAAATTGGATTTGTTTGCTAATGGCAAAAAACTTAACTGATAGGAAACAAGATGGGGATTTTGGTTAATGGGATCTCTTCCTTTCGCTTAGATGTGGCTCCAATTTTCATTTCTTTTGTTGATGCATATGCCACAAATCATTTCTTTTGTTGATGCATATGCCACAAATACTTGGATAAGAGGAGTCTATCTAATCTGCTTCTGTTGAAGGGCAGCCCGGTGCACTAAGCTCCCGCTATGCGCGGGGTCCGGGGAAGGACCGGGCCACAAGGGTCTATCGTACACAGGTTTACCCTGCATTTCTGCAAGAGGCTGTTTCCACGGCTCGAACCCGTGACCTCTTGGTCACATGGCAGCAACTTTAACCGTTGAAGGAATATCTTAATCTTTAGGCTCACTGCTGCGGCCTTCTTCAGCATTTCTTCATAATTGCCTGATTGATATTTATTGCTGATTTTTTTCTATGCAGGTCCAGTGAATTAAGCTCTTTCGAAAGTTTTGCTTGAAGAAAAACTATTTATTTCTGGACTAGGTAAATTTTTGCATCATTACTTGGCTTCTGATTCTCAGTAGACGATACTTGGTCATTGACTTGATGTTTCTTTTCTGTTCGGTGCTTATGTTATGTCAAATGTTAATTCTTAGTACTAGACTAGATAAATGTTCCATGCTTTACAGAAATATGCATGAAAAACAACACAAAAATGGACAAAATGGCTGCTTTGGTGCTTTCAAACTGGTTGCTCCAACCGTTTCTCTTCAAAATGACCAGTAATCACATTCTATTTGTATCATTTTGACATGATACTAGCAAAAGAAGTATGGGAAAAAAAGGGATATGGATGGGAAACTACTGCTGTTACTTAATCTGAGCAGACCACTTAATCTATTTCTACTCGAGCTCCAAAAGGAAACTAAATCATTCGAGGCCCTATTTGAGAGTGTTAGAAAAACAATTACGAAAAGTGGCTTATATGCTAAATTTGGACTATTTCTTTTACCTATATGCAGATGGATTTGACTGCTGGTTTTGCTAAAAGAAACTATGGGACTTGATTTTTGAGACTTTCTAATTGCCAATTTTTCTTTTCATTATCCAGGTTCCGATTCAAGATGGGACTCTCACAATATCCAACTCCAGCCGATGCAGGAGTGTTCTGTGTGATTCTGGTTAACACAGCCATATCTATCTCTGTTGTTAAGGAGATAGTTCGGTCTATTCTTCATGTGATTGGCATCCACTTTGCATCTTCGGAAGAATATTCTATTGAAGGCCCGTTTGAATGTCGTGGAAGCCCTTCGGGTTCATATATGGAGGACTTCCGAAGGCGAACCCCTGCAGTTCGTTATGATTCAGTGTGTACATCTAATCAAGAATGCTCGGTATGCCTGGCAGATTTCAACCATGATGTAGAAATAAACTGCCTCTCATGTGGCCATGTTTTTCATAAGCTCTGTCTTGAGAAATGGATCAAGAATTGGAATGTCACCTGTCCTCTCTGCAGGAATTACATTATGCCTCAAGAAGGTGAGGAAGATACTTGTCCAATGTGAATTTGTGATGCTACTAGTCCATCTGTTCGAGGTGTTCCTATGTACAGCTTAGTAGTGTACAGATTGAATAGATGGATGCCTGATCGACGTAATTCTGTAGCTTGTTAAATTGTAGTACTCTGCGTCCTCTCAGAGTGACGGGTCTCCTTGTTGTGACCAAGTATTCATACATTGTTGTACATATATATTATGAATTTTCCACTTGGGATGTTCTCCATCTTCTAGCTTAGCCAGCTAGCATTAAAGGGAACAATTTACTGGTTGATTGATATGATGAAATGTCACATAATCCTTATAGGCTATGTTGCTCGGACTCTTCAAAAATATCGTCAGGTGTGTGTCAGATCCTTCAAAAGCAGTGTATTTTTGGAGGATCTGACACGAGTGCGGCAACATTTTGGAGAGTCCGTAGAACATAGCTAATAGGGTATTTGCAATTTCCGGAAGAGTTACCAGAAAAAGGTACAGAGGTTTAAGTTTCCTGTAAAATGGATCTTCCTGCCCTTCCAAGTTTTGGTGTTTGATATTTTTTCTGTTCCTCTTATTTTCTCTGTCTGCTGCTGAACTCTTTGAATAAGAGGAACAGGAGGGGAAGATGGAGAAAAGAAGATTAAAAAAATTAGAGGTCTAGGGTTCTAGAGGAAAGTTAAAAGCGAAAGAAGATGATAGTGAAAAAGTGGTTAAAATCTTTTCTTCCTTTTCTCTTCTTTAATCCTCAAACCGAGATTCATGTTAGGGTACTTTCTACTTTTCCTTTCCTCATTTTTTTTTTATTTTTTGGTGGTGGTGTGGTGGTTG